TTTTTTTTTTTTTTTTTTTTTTTTTCTTCAAGAATCAGAAAAATTTTAGGAAATAGAATTGAGATAAAAATATGGGTGAGTATGTTCAGATGTTCGATGTCAAGTAATGTGAAGAATTGCGGAGAAATCAATAGTTCCTGGGGTGAATTTAAAATTAAGAAAAAATTCTCAATTGAGTCGTTTCCCTTCGTTTCGTTGAATAAAAGTGGGCTTATCTCAGCGACGAGTGGGTCTAGAGCAAAATGTTAGAGGACATTTTTTTTTGGAAATTGAATTCTCCAGAAAAAAGATATTATGAAATTTCCCCGTAAGCCCACTCCTTCCTCAGATATGCCTATTTTTTTGAAAATCGTCTGGTGAATTAATTCCTTGAGACAGTATTTTCCGTTGAAATTCTCCCTCTCAAACGATTTCAGAATGGAAAGACAATATTTCCAATGACAATAGTTACTCAAAGATGCACTTCCCCTTCATTACCGACTGGTAAGACCCTCCATTGTTAATTCCCCGTTGGGAATTGAACTTTCCATCTTCCCTCAGCAAATTTTTCCTCCTTTTTTCTTTTTCCACTCTTCACAATTAATTCGATGCCCTTTTGAATGTCTCTCCGGTGAATTACCATGAGCATTCGTGAATACTCTCGAGGGGGTGGGCTCTCACTAATGAGAAATTCCAAGTCTTCTTATATTTATCCGTGAATGCCATTCATCTATCGATCCACCGATAATGATTGCTTCTTGGCAATCCCATATGTCATGGCTTGCCTCATATCAAACCGTACTCCTGCCTCATCGCATTCTACGGGTTATGGACGACATAGTTTCGACCCAATTTAACTGGGTAATCGTCCACATAATGGGACACGAGCCAATTACAGCTCAATTTCATTTTTTTTATTAATTAATAAGAGGTTTTTTAGAATTACGTAAAAACCTTTGTTACATTTCTACCGATATCTCTAGAAGTAATTGACGGATTTTTCTGAGTCAAAATTCATTCGAAAGCTGACAAAATTTGCAATTTTTTCATTCTATTGAAATTTTTTTCATTATGACCCTTTTGCAGGAAATGAGCGACAAAACAAACTGTTGAATTTTTGAATTTACAAATGTTTGAAAACCATTTCCACATTTTTGGCGATATCTCGAGAAGTTATGGGGGAATTTTCATGAGTCAAAATTCATCGAAAAGCGCATGAAATTTCCGATGTTACAGTGTATGAAAAATCCCCCTCGACCAATGATTTTATCAACAATAGAATAATGAAATAATGAATACGTGAATTAATAATGTTTTTTTATTGAATTTTCAGTTTGTGTCCAGTGGCCAGAGGGTAGGTGCATCCACGACGTACCAGAGGAGGCTCTCCTCACTCTGTACACCGAAATACGTGAAAATTGCCAGGGATTCTCCTGAAGTGCAAGTGCCAAATCGACTATTGAGACACGCAAGACTATTATTTTACCAAAATTTTTTTTTCCACTTTCGTTTCATATACTTTATTCATACGAATTCTTTTGACTGAGGATGCATCGAACTCCAAGTTCACCGGTCGGAATGAACCAAAGCGTAAAAGAAAAAAAAACGATAGGAAAAATTCTAAAAATCCGCGAAATTTCGAGTCATTCTCAATTTTTAGTGACGATTACCTAGAGTTCTATAATTCAGGGACCCAGATCCGCCACACCACGACCAAGCCATTAATACGTCAGAGACAAATCTATTTTTTGATTAATATTAATGATTTTTTTATGAAGAGATGATTACCAGAAACCGAATGCGAAAGCCTTTTCAACTTTTTACAATTTCACAATTTTCAATCTTCGATATGTAGAGATCCAACGATGCGATTTCAGCGAATTTAATTTCATTCTAAAGGTTATAAAAAAACCTCCAAAATGAAGGAAAAATTTTGGAAATTCACTCAGCCGATCTCCAGATATTCCCGATTGAAGACGATGCGTTTTGACCGAATCTTCAAATCGACTTTTGATCGGTTTTTGCGAAATATCTTGTTACTCAACTGAGATAGCGAGATTTTCACCAGAAGCATTTTTGTAGGTCTTGAAATCCTCTACAAAAATGTTCCTGATAAAAATTCCGGTATCTCCCATAGATTCAAAGATATTCGTAAAAAACCGCTTGGAAGAGAAAATGGAGACGAAATAAATTGAAACATTTCTGGAAATTTTTCCATTCGGTTTCTGATATTTGATGATCACATGTATGTGAATGCGTGTATCGGTCAAACACTGACCCTGGTGAGGTCATCGGCGCGATACTAATAATGCCACAACGATCCTCCCTGCAGCCAAGGTGGGTCAACTTTATTTAATTCCTAAATTCATGAAAAAAAATGATATATTCTGTCCTCCCGAAATTTCTCAAAAAAAAAAAAATTTCTTAAATATTTCCGATGACCTGAGACAGGTCAGTGCTAGGCCGAATACTCCCTAGACCTAGCCAAAAGCAATCGTGATGACGCGGACGTCATTTTTTCATTTATTTCCATCCCAAAAACCACCTTTACCTCGGAAAAATAACGAGATAGACGGGAAAATGGCCAAAGCGCCGTCAACGATTACTCTCCACATTTTACTGGCGAAAGAAAAAAAAAATAGAAAAAAAAACTATTAAAGGGTTTTAGTGCTGCCGTCGCAAACAGGCGTTCACCGTTAACTCTGGTAGTTTTTAAATTTAAACACGTACTTTATCGACTTTAACGACAAATAACATTCCAAACGGAGAGCTATTCTTCACTGCATATTCCGTGAATTGTTGGAAATATTGGGAAAGTTTGCCAATAATGATCGTGATAAATTCAACTTTCCCACATTTTCCGTAGATTCACATGGCATTTTTGGGAGATTAAAACATCTCGTGATGATGACAAGACTCAGCAACGAAAACAGGGTATATTTATAGTGATAAAACTAGTGATAAGTGATTAGAATAGGCTGGGATGCTTTACACTCCCATAGGATTAATCAGTAGAGTATGAAATTAAGGTACTTCCTCAGAAATTTTTACTCTGCACCACCCCCAGGGCTATTTTACTCGGTCCAAACCTTGACCTTAACTTTGTACCGAACGAAATAATTTTTTTCGTTTGAAGGAAATTTTTATTCATGACTCGGGTCTAATCTACCGGCAGCGATTTTCCTCTCCCAAATTATTTCAAGTAATTTATCAATGAATTGAAATTGTCGTCGTAAATTTGACGGCAATGCATTTTCGTCAGACGAAGTTGGTGTCGCTGTCCTCCGATATGATCCTATATTATAGTACAGTGCCGGTGTTGTAGAACCTACAGTCGAGCTAATGCCACGGCCCCACGCGTCGCTCTAACCTCTCGCCGTTGCCACGATGAACCACTATTTTCCGATAACCGAACGATAATTCGTGATCCTCCCATACATTTTTAATTATCACTCGGGATTAACGCTGTAAAAAATAATAAAATTGCGGAGATAAATCCTTGAAGCACATGCGATGCTACACACCAGGCATTCGGATTTTTGTCGCATTGTCGATGCTCATTATTTGTCAGTTGAAAACCGAGTCCCATAAGACTGTACAAACGAAATATTTTTCACCTGTTAAAAGAACATAACCCTAACATTCCAACCGCTGAGGAAGTGCCTTGCACAATCAAACGAATCGGAAAATGCGATTTTTCACTGAAAGAAGAAGACTAAAAGGGTATCATAATAGACGCATAACTGAAAGAGATAAAAAAATATCGGAATTTTTAAAGTGGAAAATACACCGGGGGCTTTCATTTCTACTGTAAACATCAAAAGCCTCCATTCATAAAAAGAAGAATCTAATAAATGAATATAAAAAAAAATACACAGTGGCCGTAAAATATCGAACGCGATAACGAATAAGAGTGAAAGAGAAGTGATAACAGAGACACAATAAGAGGAAATAATATTAAAAAGTGATTTTACCAATGGATATTAAAAAAAAAAAATTCAAGTACCAAATCTTTAATTAATCTAATTAACTATCTTTATACAATGAATTTTTATACAAGAAAAATAAAGAGGTCCTGCATTTTAAATGAACAACTGGCATGGATCATTTAAAAATCAAAATTACAAGAATGAGAGATAATAGTAGACAATTTGATAACTAAAACGATAGTTAAAATTACTAAAAGCAATAGCATGCAATTGCATCGTCAAATCAGTGTTCGTGTGTTGACACCTGAGGACTCTGCTGAATGCATCTCCACTTTATATATTTTTTATTTTTATTTATTATCATTTTTTACAATCGATTTTCATTGATCTTGACAATTTTTTTTTAAATATATTTTTCTCAAATTCAAATCTCGCGACATTCCTTGTACCGTGAAAAATCTACCGAGTATCTACTAGACATTAAAAACAATATACTACATAAAAAAGAAGATAATAAGTTTATCGGCGAATGGGGCTGCCCAATGCCACAGCTATTCTAAATCTGCCGGTAGATTTTATCTGCCAGATTGGCCGATTTGGTCTGCCCGATGGGCAGATTTCATTTACTAGAACGGGAGATTTGATCTATCAGGTCAATATATTTCGATCGGTAGATTTCATCTACCAATGTCGGTAGACTTAATCTTCCAGAGTGGTAGATTTGATCTGTCACGCCCATATATTTAATCTACTAGTAGATTTGATCTATCATTGTCGATAGATTTCATCTATCAGTTTCGGTAGACTTAATCTTCCACAGTGTTAGATTTGATCTATCAGGCTGATATATTTAATCTACTAGTAGATTTGACCTATCATTGTCGGTAGATTTAATCTCCCAATGACGGTAGATTTAATCTACCAATACTGGAATTTAGGGTAGCCATGCTCGCCGGTAGATTTCCTCTTCATTTTCCTGTAGTAAATTAGTTTTTTGTCATATTTTACATTTGATAGAATTCTCTTTCCGATAAAAACGGATTAAAAAATCAATTTTTTACTACAACTCCACCTTTTAACAATGAATCTCCGTATTTTCATCCAACTTCAAACATTCCGTTGGAAAATGTAATCCTGTCAACTCTATTCAAACATACCAAAGGCCTTTCAATACTTTGTTAAGATCAATGAAAAACCGAGAGGGAAACAATTTCTTGAGCCTTTCGCCCACTGTGTCTTACCTCCAGTTGCACAGATCTATCACTTCCTTTATTCTCCATCTATTTCTCATGGGATACGTCAACGACCCAACTTGCAAAAAGCTAAAAAACATCGTAAAGGGGGAGCAAAAAAAAAATAAAATTGAGATGAAAAAGAGAAGAAAATGTAGTTTTTCCTGCGGCAGTATAAGAGACACGTAGAACTGCAGTGACTTTACTGTACCCTCGAGAAAAGGCAAAAAGGGATTGAGTGGGGGCNTTTTTTGGGGGGGGGGGGGGGGGGGGGGGGGGTTAGAGGGGCTGGAAGTGCACGAGACGAATGGAAGGAGAGGATAAAAAAAAGAAAGAGAGAAGGAAAACTAAAGAGGGACACGAAATTGAAACGAAAGACTCAGTGGATGCCACGTGAAAGTGGGTACGGTGTCAAGAAAAAAAGGGGGGAAGGAAGCGCTTCTGGTGGATGGAAAACGAGTAGAAACGACACGGGGGCTTTTGCCAAACCCCCGGGAGCATCACTTGCAAAAGGGATTGCGTTATTTCTCAGTGTTATCCAGCACATATGAGGCTCAAGGCTTTATTTATATCATTCATTTTGAGTATTTCAATTTTTTTTAGTTCAATGTTTTCTCTGGAAGAGTGGGGGGGGGGGGGAGGTGCGTGTCGTTTTT